ATATGATCATTGAATAGAAACTTGTAAAACCCTACAACTTTGATTCGAAACATTTTTCTCAAAAACGTTTTGTTTTCGAGATATTCGACCGTTTCCAGACTTTTGTAACACCCTGTATACATGTGTGTAAAACCAAATAACCCACTCCCAAACCCATTTTCCCTCCAGGAAAGTTTAAGTATGGTTGCATCTTGACTCACAATCAGACCACGCAACTGTTACGTCCAGTGGACTTCACGATTTCTTTCTTTCCTAAAAATAGCACTGCGACCGTTCCCACGAATGATCCCCCAATAGGAAGACAGTAAGGAAATGAGAGGTTGTCGACCCATGAAAGGTCACAGCTGCAAGATAAACTATTCCCCTTCATTTTTACGATTTAACAATCTCCCATTTTTACGATCTAACAATCTTCCCTTTTTACGATCTAACCATCTTTCCTTTTTACATCTAACAATCTTCGTTTCTACGAACTAACAATCTTTCTTCATTTTTATGATCTGCCAAACTCTCAAAACCCACGATGACAAGTGGAACCAGACCTCCTAATTGACAAATCCCATTAACGTCACCATATTACGACCTACAGCCGCGCTCTAAAAGAGATAATTAAATTTACTTTATTAGCAAACGATGAGAGGACTGGTACCCTTTGTCACAAAAAACAGGCGACAATCGGGCACCACCGAATCCCCACTAGAAACTAAGTTAGAAAATTGTTGCTCCGATCCACCAATAAGCGCCAGCCAAATCAGCGTATTCAACCCACTCCCAACGAAAAATAGGGTATATAAACCCTGATTCCGTGGAGGAAAGCGCACTTAACTTCTCCAGTAAAAGATCAAGCCTTGACATAAGTCGTGTGAGAGTCATTTGAAAACGTCCAAGGGCCACCATCATAAGGAAGACATCGAATTCCACGTCCATCGAGAACTGCCGAAGCCTTCCACGAGTGCCCCGACAATCAGCCCTATAGAGGAAGACGACAAACTCCTCGACCATCGCCTATCTCCACGACCGGTCACGAGCTAAATATTAGCATCAAGTAAGTCCTCTTTCCTCCACGTAACATAATACGTAAAAAACTTACCTTTTTTAAAAAATGGTAAAAAAGCACCAAGTATAATCTCCAATTCCACCGAATATATTTTGTTACTCTATCATTTTTGCAAAAGTATATTCTCTACAAAAATATCTTCTCTACAAAACTATCTTCTCTACAAAAGTAATGATACCAACAAATTGCGCCAAATATAACAACCGATATTTATACAAACTAGTTGCTTTAGTATTAGTTTTTGATTAAAAAATGTTATATTTCTTAAAAAATCAAACTAAAGATTTTATTGGAAAAAATAATGGAGTTAATAATAAAACACCGATGGAAAGAATAGCAACTGTTTAGAAATTTAGAAACTCTGTATCTATTCAGGCGAATTAAGGCTTGTGTCCATGACGCTAGTACTTGGTCCAGGTTCTAATTCCGCGAAATATGTAGCCAATCAATGTAGCTGTCCCACAAAAGCTGTAAGTTGATTGGCTACATATTTCGCGGAATTAGAACTTGGACCAAGTACTAGCGTCATGGACACAAGCCTTAATTCGCCTGAATAGATACAGAGTTTCTAAATTTCTAAACAGTTGCTATTCTTTTCATCGGTGTTTTATTATTAA